CATCACTTATCCATGTAGATGTTACATTTTAACCACAACAAACACAGGATGTGGAGTAGGAGGTAGCCTTTTCTCTTCCTGTCTGTCACACACAGACTCCTTTTGTCCCTAACGCAAGGATGGAGGTTTTGAAAACCACCCTGTAAACCAGATATGAAGAGTAATTTGGGGTGGGTTTTTTTTGGGGGGGGGGGGCTAAACAACATCCAGCCTCCTCTGTAAATATTCCCTGTCATTGTCAACCAGGAGTTAACAAAAGCAAAAAGAGTAAGAAAGAAAAACCCCCCTCCTGACGTCAGTGGAAATCCCCTTTGTCTGCTGTGTGACTAAAAAGTCAACACAACATTTATTTCTTTTAAAAGAACACACACTTTAAAACACACACTGCTGCAAATGCGCACTTTTTTTATAAAGTCACCCGACACAATTAGTAGCTTTAATAACCATTTATGTTTAATACATACAAAAAAAAACCTTGTAAAGCAGCTTTTAAATCATAAAAAGCCACATTGTGTTAGGGTGAATTTCACCTCCAGCAGACATATTATGACATAAAATAATCACTTTTTCGGGGCGTCTCACAGCCGCAGTGCCCAGACAGAAGTATCCGCCCTTGTCTGTGAAATGAGCTGTGTGTGTTTTTCCTTTAGTTTCGGTTTTGTCTTCGGGCTTTCCACCGCTGATATGATGTCTCTAGATCTTACGCACACTTCCTCATCCGCCCCCCTCCTCCAGCAGCAGCCATAGCAAAGGGGACGCGTCTTCCGCGCAGGTTTTCAACCCTCCTCAAGGATCATTTTGTGACATTGCAGCATGCGTTGAACTTTGCTCTGATACATGTTGTTGTTATATGATTGCGGAAGGCTGAAGAGAGCCGCACTTGCCTCCCCCCTTCCTCCCTCCTGTGAGCAGAGAGAGAGAGAGAGAGAGAGAGAGAGAGCCCCGCTGCTGGAAACGAAACTTTAAGAAAAAAGGCGCAGAGCGATCGACCTCACGTAAGAAAAACGACGCAGAAAAGATTATATTTTGATACGCTGGTTGATGTTTGTGTGTGTTATCGTGTCGCCTGTCGCTCGGGTTGGCTGTTTTCTGCCCTATATTTACTCAAACACACACACACACACACACACAGCAGTCTGTTTACACTCGGATTAATGTTTCACAGTACTCTCTCAGTTGCTGAATAATCTGGCAACGGGCCATATTTCTGCTACGCTGGTGATATAATTTCTCTTCTACTCGCTTTTTAAAGTCGTATTAGGTGCAGATGAAGCAGAGTCTGGGTGTATTCTTTGGATAAAAAAAGGCAGATGGCAGCTCGAAAAACGCAAGTTGCGAAGTAATGGTGTCAATATATTGATAAAAAGCCTTGTTTACATGGCGCTGTTTGGAAAGGTTTTGCGCATCAGGTGCAAAGTGGTGGAGAGGTAACTTGTTTGACTGGAATATAATCATTTTATGCTACTTTCTGCTTCTACTTTATTCCATTTAGGAGGGGATATTTGATACTTTACACTCCAGTACATTTATTTGACAAACATAGTTACTTTTTGGATTATTTTATATTAAAAAATATGTGATAAACCTGTAAAATACAAACTTACATGCACTGTTAGAGGTTAAACCAGTGGTCTACTCTTTATTTGTCGTTGCCGAGCAACAACAACTCTTCCTGGAGTCCATTCAAACGTTTTACACTAAATATAGTAAACAATACAGTTACAGCATTGACATTGCAACAGTCAGTGTCATCCATTTTGCATTATTTATGTGTTTATTTATTTATTTAAGGCTTCCCAACCTTTAGTCTATAAGCTTTCTATGAGATTTCCACTCTAAAATCCCCAGATGGTTTCATTTAAACACCAGTTTAAAGGCCTGAACAGTTAAAATTAGCCAATATTTCACAATACAACAAAAAAAATGTAAAAATGTTGTGTAATACAACTTTGTTCTTTTTTCTTTCCTGCCACATTTATCATCTCACAACCCCTCAAACTGACTCATTGTCCTACGTAACTGTATGTATTGTGGTTAAAACTACAGCTGCTTACACATCAGTAGTAACAGTCAAATAATGTAATGTTTGATTAGACCTTTTTCTGCAGAATAAGTGCATTTATTTTTGAGACTTTAAGTACATGTAAGGCTGTAGCGTATTGTGTAGTCACCTTTTTGTAGTCATTTACTATATTTGTATCATGTTGCCATACACACCTGTGTGTGTCTGGTATCTGTGACCTCTGAAATGGCCGTGGAGAAGATCTGGTAAAGCAGGAAAGTCTGTTCAGTGACATGTGATCAAACATGGAGGCTAAATATATACTGTGGGTACTTTACATGTCATGCCTGTCAACAAGACTGATCAGAATTTTGGAAAACGCAGCGACGCCCACGTGCGTTGTTATTGAACGCATCACTGTCTCTCTAACGAACGGCTCACACTTGCTTTGTGACAGAAAGAAAAACACATTACAATAGGGCAAAAGTTTCATCACTGTTTTATTTCTCACTGTTGTTTTAGATTTCTCATTATTTAGTTTTTTCTCTTGTTCAAATTGTATAATTTTATTTGCTTCATTACAGTCCTGAAGTGTTTTAATCCAGGTTCAACCATGTAAACCAGTTTGTAACTTCATTATTATGTTTATTTTCAGAATTATTATTATCAAAATAAGAATTCCTGTAAATGACAAATGTACCTTATATTTAACTACAGAGGGAATAGATCATCTTTCTACAGTAGCCCAGAATGGACAAACCAAACACTGGCTCTAGTGTTTCACGGCCACCGTAGTTTCCCCTTCACGCCACAAAATCCTACACACTAGTCCTTTAATCAAAAAGTTTGTATTTTTTGCCACTAAAGTGTTGTTATGTGTTTTTTGCAGTATGTACAACTCTTTGACACCAGTTTAAGTACGAGGGATGGACGGTGAGAGAAGCGATGGAGGAGGAGGAGGAGGTGGAGAACCGGAGGTGGTGGATGAGTTTGCGTGTGCTGGTATGCTGCGGGGATCTCTGACCTCCCTGCACAGCACCGTGGAACGCATCTTCGGCGTGATGTTTGGCATCGGGGCAGATGATTTGTCTCAAGGCAACAACGGGCAGATATGGCTGAAACTACAAGGGCAGAGAAACAGCGTGAAAGCTGCCAAAGTAAGCTGCAATTTCCTTGTTTTGTGGCACAATAGATTGTGAACCGGCTTGTAAGCCTCGATTTGCAAAGGTGGCATACCAGTAAAGGTGTTATTGTCATTACGGGTAGTGTCTACAGTGCACTAAGACTAGGGGCAGCATTCCAGGGAAATTACTCATCAAGGGTTTTTAATTGTTGATCTCAGTCTCAGTTGAGTTTCGGTCTAAATATGTGGTCAACCTGCTGACACATGTGCTCAGAATGACTTGACAGCACATAATTAATTTATGTTAACTCATTAAATGCAAGTAGTAGTAAAACTGAACTGCAATGGGGGGTTTTTTTGTTTGGTCACTAACACGTGTGTGTCCTCGTACAGTAATAAAGCAATAAAAACCAGCAGTCACATGATTGTCAGTTACATAATGAGATACGTATATGCAAGCCTCGCCATAGTAACAGACACAACTCAGTTCGGTTAAGTGATACCTTTCTCTCCCTCTAAAATAACCACCTGTCCGCCCAGAAAACTTTCAGATAGAAGCTTAAAACTGACACATATTTACATTTATCTTCGTCCTAAACAAACAGAAAGAAAGACGACATATGCAAGAGATGATCTAGATAGATAATCCACAGGCAGACTGCAGAGAGAGAAAGGCACCTGACTGTCATGTGGAGTACGTAAAAAAAACCCCTCCCACTAAAGGTCACAGCAGGTGTTTTTGTCTTGCAATCATAAGCATCATTCTGGTGCAAATAATAAATAGTGACTTGCAGATAGGTGAAGAAGATGGGTTCCTGTTGGCAGTCTGCAAAAATACATTTTAAAGTTTATCTGAAGTTAATTTTAGGTTTCAATTAGTCAAATGAAGCGGATGTCTTCCAAAGTTTCCGTCTTTTTTAGTATAAAATTCCCTTTTTTTCCCTTGTTGAGCTGCAGCGGAGGGACAGTAAAACAAAGGGGGGGTTTTGCACTAGAAACTTTGGAAGATACCCACAGCTGAAGCCTCTTATTAGCTACACATAAACGTTTCAGTACATTTCTGCATGGAAGGAGAACTGTGGAAGAAAAAGGGTCCGTTAATGGTTAGTATGAACGGCAGGAATGAGTACAGTTCCCAGCATGCACATGGGTACCTAACTATTGGTTTAAATTACCCTTTAAAGCTGCTGCACTTGAAATCTGGATATAAACCATGTACCCTTGATTTGAATGCATCATAGCCTTTTAACTATTCCTATTATTATAACTACTATGACTATTTTACTCTGAAATTATCAATGTAAACAAAACTTATTTAAACCTCTGCAGTTCAGCTTTAAGGCCTTTTTCTTTTTTTTACACTTACACATAATTTGTTCAGTCGACGTGGAACTGTAGATGTTCAAAATTTCCACAACAATAACAGAATTAATTACATTTTAATGGAACATTTGAAGATCTAAAGTTTCAC